CAATCATCTTAACGTAAACAAATCAAAGTCTTTTCAAACATAAGACACATCAAAACTCTTCTCGACACAACAAGATCATATTCATTCCAAATATAAAACAAAGCCATCCGTCTTTCAAATACAAGACCATTCGCAAAACTTTTCAACATAAAGTAGGTCATAAGATTTTCGCATAAGACAAATCGTTGATTTTTTCTTATCTCAAAGCATAAGTAGTGAAATAAGTAACAGAAAGAGAGATAAGCTAATAAAGAGAAAAGAGATAAGGTTAGATGTGAAAAGAGACTCAATGCATATTTGCCAAAGTTTTGTCTTCCCAACAATCATCCGACAAACCCACAATATTCAACTTTCCAACATGAAAATACCCTACAATCACCCTTTATAAAATGTAACACCAAACAGTCCAAATAATTTTTCTCCAAATCTCTTAACACCAAGTAATATACATTTTTGAAAAATTATAAATAGAGCTTCAGACTCATAACAAATCATCTCTTATAATTCATCACAAGCACTCAAACTCTTAGATATAAAACATTTCATATAACTCCTCAATTATAAAGCAACTTGTGGAACTCTCCACACAAAACAAGTCACCCAAATATTTTTTACAAGTTTACTCATGGAGCTTCCCAACAAAAATAGTTCGCAGAGCTTTTGTAGTGTTTCCAACAATAGAATAACTCATGAAACTTTTTCAACATAAGACATGAATATATGTATACATCAAACATATACCAACTCTTGAAGTCTTTTCCAATATGAAGCAAACCCCACATGCCACATGCTAGCAAATACTTAAGGGAAATTTATAAACATACATAAATCAGAGAATATTTCATACATTGGGTCTTCTTTTCAACACAATGAACTATGATATTCATAACAATGATTTTGCCAAGAGTTTAAGATTGATAATGAAAGCAAACTCACCTTTATGACGAAAGCAAACTCATATAAATTTCATTCAGGCATCTTTCATACGATTCCAAAGAAACAATCATGCTTGGATATCCACACAGAGAATCAAATTTAAACTATTCCTGCAAGGGATCCAACTCAAACATGCCTATCTAGAGCTTACTGTAAGAGAAAACTGCAACAATAAGGCAACCAAGATTCTCATCGAGGAACATGAATACAATATCAAGACATAATCCACACACATATTTAATTGTGATATATGCTTCCAGACCAAGTACGTAACGACGAGAAGTGTCATAAAAAAAATTCAAACTCCACACTTGATCCCAATACAATAATGATTTTAGTTTACAATAGAGATGAGTGTGTTATAAACTAGGAATTTCCATCGTTTCACTGATTCATGTAAAATTATTCAATCTACCAACCAGCAAGCAAATTATGTTGGGGATTTCATCTCCAAAATATATAAATCATGCCCTCAAGTATGTATTCAAATATTTGGATCATGGTGAGATCTATTCAATAAATCCTATCCAACATCGCGACGAAGAGCAAGAGAGATGATGTCAAACCTTTATGTCAAATTCCCCTAGACATAGCATTAGACAACATTTGATCGGAATCAACCAACACATTTATCAACTTCGGAAATCACAAATGCTCAGGAAAGCTACAAATATGCATTTTTCAGGTTTTATTTGCACCTCCCTAGATACAAGTTTAGAAGATTTCATGAGAATAATACAATTATATAAATCCTTAATATAAGCTAAACAACTGTGGTTTCCTCTTAGCGACATTTCATCGAATGGCTAATAGGCGATGCTTGCAAGATTCTCATGAAATAGGCTACAGTAGAGATCATCACCTTACAATCACAAAAT